ACAATAAGATGAAACATTTTAATCAACAATTTCTAACAAATTGAGTATATCATGGTCAAGCATGCTATCATTTTCAACCTTTATTAATTCCATAAGCTTGTTTTGTTGTTTTCTCTTTTCCTCGGCTGAGTAACTATAAATGAGCATTTTCATTCTTCTTTGGGTACACCAAAAAGGTTGAGAAAAAAGATAATAGTGATTAGAAATCGATGATAATAATCACCTTGCGATTACATTGCTAAAGGAATCTTGTTATAGTGTTGAGTTGGTGTGGTACAACTCGAATAAGCTTAATAAATATGTTTTGTTTTATATGCCAAACATGTCATTAGAAAATACAGACATTGTTGTGACACATAAAAGACTAGGTTTAAATGAAAGTATAAGTATAAACACCATAAATTTATTAGAGCATAATATAGATAACTCGAGTAATAAAGATCACATGAGTATAATGATACTATTGTAATTCGAGTATCGAAAATTGAATACCTTACAAAAGCATAAAAATTAAATGAATTTATCGGTGTTTGTAAGAGTGTGACAACATTATGAAGTTGAATGAATTTTCAAAAGCTGTTAAGAGACTATTAAAATTGCAATAGAATATACCAACAAAAATGGAGGAAGAAATTAGAGAGCGTGAATTCGAATTAAGGACTGGAAAAAATTTAGTAGGGAGCAGTATCCTTTTAATAAATTTTATGTGACGTAAATTCAAATAATCGAATCAATGAATACTCAAAATTGAATTGAATAATTATTTAAAAAGGAGAAGAAATTAGGAATAGGATCGGAAGACAGTGGGAATGGGAGGTGAGTAGATGTCACAACTTTTTTAGCAGTTGAAATCATTGTTGAAAAGGCCTGTTGGAGGGTAAGTTCATAGCTAGGTTGATGCTGGATAGACTGATGGCAACATAAGTAGCATTTTCATACACCATGTTATCATATTGTTTGCCATATAGGTAGACTATCTCAAAAACCTTTTTTAATTATTCCTTTTCAATCATCACTTCTATAGAGAGTAAAATAATTAAGGAATTAGAAAGAAAAAAAATTACTGTCCCAAGGAATACACTAAGTATTTAGAAACAACAATTGAATTGCAGTGTCACAAATTTAAATCTTAATATTACTCGGAAGATTGTTCTTTAGTTAAACTTTTCCTTTTTGTCAATAAATAACGTCTCAATTATGCGCTCAAGGGTGTGATTTAATGGTCAACAAAACGTAAAGAAAATTATGAGGCAAAAAACATTAAAGGAATTCTTTTTCTTTCGGAAAAAATAGCAAATACCCAATGAAATAATTGAGAAGCACGCAAACCTTAATTTGGATAAAATTTTGTAAGTGAACCTCATAATAAGCAATGAAATTTTTTTCTCATGCATTTTGAGGATAAAAATAGAACTGACTGACTGTTTACCTCAAATCATATTAACTTATTATGATTAAGCAATCTAATAAAGTAAAAATATATATTAATTAATTATGATTAAATGAAAAACTTATTTATAAACACGTGTCATGTATCTATTGATTTAGTGCATAAATCGACGAATGACACAAATATGATACTTTTGTGCTACTATTAATTTTTTGACTCACGTAACAAAAATTTTGAAAAAAAAGGTTCCATACGCTCCTGACAATATTTGATTTGGGCAAGATTTTCCCTAATAGCAGACTATGATAATTGTTAAAATTTTCCCACAAATCCTAACCAGTAACCAGAATCTTTCAACATTGTTGCTGAAACTTGTAACGATTATCAGAATTTCTTATACTTCAAAATTTTAGCGCAAGACTATTTTTCTTAAATATTTCTTACCAGATCAAAATATAAACGGTGATTTAAAAAAAATTCATCAAGCGTGATTTTATGAGATAAATTGGTGGGTATAATAGTGTACCAATATGGTACTTTTAAATGACAGTCGATTTATTTAGGGTCTGTTTGGAAAGTCACTGGAATTGGTGTAATTATTAGGACAATAATTACACAACCTAGTAATTACACAGTTGACGACCTGTTTGTTTGTCATAGTGTAATTACAAGTTTACTACTATATGATTGTACAAGTGAAATTACACAGTTAAACTAAATTTAAATTAAGTAATTATCAAAACTTAAAATTTAATATAATAAATACGTGCCTATAAATTTTTATAAGTATAAATGATATTATATTTGGTATTTAAGAAGTAGTATATTTTTTCGTGCATATACACTAATTAGTAAGCATATATTTTAAAAATAATTTATATATATTTTTAATAATATCGTAGAATTCATGTTTAATAAAAATAAATTAATTTTATAAATGTAATGTCAAAAATATTATTCAAATATTTGACAAAATTAATCTATTAATTCTAACTCAAAAATGAACAACATGCATGTGAGCCAATACTAGAGCCGTCAATATGGGCTTGGCCCATTGGGCCAGTCCAGCCCAACCTCGTGATTTAGCAGGGTTGGGCTAGAATTTTTGGAGCCCGTTTAAAAATGAGACTTTTAAGCCCGGCCCGAGTAAGTCCGTGGCCCGTGAGGCTTGACTGAGGCTGGGGCCGGCCGGCCCGTGGGCCTAATAAAATATTTATTTAAAATATATAAAAAATAAAAAGTATACTGCATTTAGAGATGGAAAGTCATAATTGGATTTTTACTAAAAGGAACCAAAACTTGATCTTGAGAAGTTTCAAGAGATATGTTGTCATGTATTGGAAGGACCATTCTAGAAAATATTTTGATCTTTCAATGATGGTGCGTGATGTATTTAACATTCTTATTACCATTGTACCATCGGAATCAACATTTAGCATTGGTGACGTGTTCTTACAAAGTACAGAAGTTGCATTTATTATGAAAATGTCCAAACACTTGTTACTACTTGAAATTGGCTGCACAGGTTTTCCCGAACTCAAAGTGGTAATATTTTTTTTATGTGAATTTAAATATTATTAATTTTTAAAATTTAATTATTTTTAATATTTAACTAATTTATATTGCATATGAATTGTAGATGAAGTGAAGATGTTAAGACAACCTTGTCACAAGCGGATTCAAATGTGTTTGATGAAGATGATGTGTTGGATATCTCATAAGCATCATGAACGTTCTCTTGAGTAGTTTGTTTTAAGTTTTGACTTTTAGTGAATGAAATATAGTCCTGTCTTTTACTTTTTTTAGTATTTATTGTGATATATTGGAACAATATAAAAAGCTATTAAGTTTTGCGAATTTTTTCCAATAAGATATTTTTTAACTGTTAAATAATTATTTTTTTTAGGTCAGAACTTAAAGAAAAAATATAAAATTATATTCTTTAAAATGATAGGCCGACCCGTGGGAGCTCGCGGCCTACATAGGGCTGGGGTGGGTTGACCATTATAAGGCCCATCAAAATGGTGGGTTAGCCCAGCCCAGCCCGTCAATTGCTAAAGCCCACGTGGGCTAGCCCGACTCGGCCCATATTGACAGCTCTAGCCAATATTACTAAAACAAGCAAATTGGAATCATGAACATAACATAATTTCAAAATTTTAAAAAATTAAATAGTTTAATATATGTCATCAAATTCCAACATAATAATAGTAAGTTCCACTACAACTTAAGATTATGAAAGATAATAAGTTTATAATCATATTCAACAACGAAATTTTACTTTAATTGCATCACTAATTATATGCCAAGTTTGTTAATGACTCATTATTTCTAATATTAGGAGGTGTAGTTTCAAAAATAGAATAATAAAATTAATAAATACATAAAAAGATAAACAATTACATGAAATCACAAGAAGAAAAGATAGAGAGAAAAAGATAAATAATGTAAAAAATATATATTTTAAATTTTCAAAAGAAATTAAAAAGTAAAAATAAAAGTAAAAAAATTAAAATAATAAAAATAAAAAGTTATAAAGAAAATAGATTAAAATAAAAATAAAAAGGAAAGAAACTAAAAAGCAGCCTTATAATTACACACACTCCTCTAAGTACATTCAATTTCATTCTGATCAAGTAATTACTTGACCAAACAAACGTACCAAATTGTATAATTATACCCAATTAGACGCAAATATATTTTTCAAGGTGGCTTCCTAGTCCTTAAAAGGGAATTTTTTGGGGGTGCATCCGATCCAAAAAGCCGTCCTCTTTATATAAAGGCAACTTCCAAATCAAAAACAATTAGCCCATATAGCTCGCTGTACCCTTTTCCAGTTTCCTAGTCTGTATTATATACATACCTTTTTTCCAACTTAAAACAAGAACAGAAATAAACCAGTATATTCAAAATCTTGGAATAGTAATGGAAGTGAATGTTGCAATTCACATGTTAACTCCAAAACGTCGTAGGTACTCTTCCCAGAAAGCTTACTGTTGATAAATTAGGCAAAGATTCTTCCTTTTAGTGTCCGCAGTTAGTACAGTTAGTTTCTTCAACCCCCACTTCAGATTTTGAGGTCTTAATGTCGTTTTATAGAAGATCAAGTATCAATTTGCTAGTTCACTTATAGCTTTCTTGTTGTTGGTCTTTATAGGATAATCAAGATTTGATTTTTATTTATTCCCAAGTTGGTAAATATTGTTCAAGATTATCGTTTGGTAATGGAAACTTGCATGGATAGTACTATAATCTTATGTGCGGGTGTTGTTTTTATTGGATTCTTGGTTTCATTCTGTGTTGCTGATTACTGAATAGAGTTGGTTGGTTGGTTGGTTCAATCAAGATTTGAATTTTATTGGTGTGAGGTTGGTTTTTTGAGCTGTGGGAAGAGGGAGAATGGGAAAAGATGATGGGATGTTGCTTCTTTCAACAGTAGGACCGCCAATAAAGCGGCGAGCGGGGTTGAGAAGGAAGCAGGCAGGCAGAGGATCATACAGAGGAAGTTAGGATTTGGGACAACAAAAGGGAAATCAATTGGGGATTGTTAGGTTTAGGACTGGATTTATTTTGAGTGTTGGGGGGAGGTGGGTGAGGATCTGTGTGTTAAAAAATTTGGTAACTGGGAAAGGATATGGCAAACCAGCTGCAACAAGCACTGAGGAGCCTTTGCTGCAACACTCCTTGGAAGTATGCTGTGTTTTGGAAGCTCACACATCGAGCTCGAATGTGAGTTTCTTTATCTCCTTCATTGAGTTCTTAGCTTCCTGGTAATGATATTTCTTTTGGTTCTGCTACAAAATGAGTAAAACTGAAAGAAAAATTTACTATTGTATGGACATGTTTTAACGAGTTTTATATTAGTAGACTTGCTTTCTTCCATTCCTCTTGTTTTTAGTTGACCCTGGACTTTCATTTGCTTAGCCAGAAATTGGAAAGGTGTTTGTTTCAGATTTATTGCAGGAATGATCTAACTTGTGTCTTCATAGTCAATTGAAAAAAAAGTATCTAATTGGACGTTCCAAACTCAGAAATGCACGTACGGAATCTAAATGCAAAATCTATTTTTCTAAGTAAGCAGGAGGTTCAGAATATAAATCAACCAATAGCATCCCCTTCAACGGGGAAATCATAGATTGCATATGTTAGTCTAGAAACTCTTTTTGCCGGAAATGTTTGTTCCATATCATAGAGAAACCTTGATTTCTGAAGCTCAGTAGAAGCTTGATTTTAATATAGACTTTCTGAGGCTTGATTTTATCAAGCACTAGGTCTCTTTGAGATGAATAGAATTCTCAGTTGTGGTCGGTAATCCGCCATAACTTGGCGTCTTAATACCTTTGAGTATAAAAGAACAACATATCTTCTCTTATCCATCATGTGGATTTCATTGTAGGATGTTGACTTGGGAGGACGCTTACTATGATAATGACGGGTTTCCGGAGAAAACATCTCCTGGTAGTACATCAGGCAACCTTCATGATGGACATTATTCCAACAATCGTCTTGGAGTAGCTGTGGCAAAGATGTCGTATCATGTTTATTCTCTTGGAGAAGGGTATGATATCTAGATGACCAGAAGCAAGTTTATGATTTATTTCATGTTGTCAATTTTAATGGTGTTGAAGCTTCAGCCAAAGAAATATTTCCCTTGAAGAAATTTTATTTGTTACGCTATCTGGTTCTGAAAGTCTGAGAGTGTAGTCAGTTAGTCGCACAGTAATCGTTTGTAAGACATGTGTTCTTGGCAGATTGAATCTGTGATTCTAATTTCTCTCTGAAATGAATAAATAGGATTTATGGGTTACGGTAATCAAATATCTAACTATCTCCATGGACAGTATTGTAGGGCAGGTGGCAATTACTGGAAAACATTTATGGCTTTCAGCAGACACAGGTGCAACTATCACCAGCTTGGCGCCTGAGGTGAGCCATTTTTTTTCTGAGTATGTGCATGCTTCTGATGAATTTAGCTATTAAGACACAACAATATACTTGCTCTGATGCAACTTGAATGTTACAGATAGAAAATTCGTCATGTCTAACAAAAGGTACTTTGACTTGGGAGCAATATATTATATTGGAGTTGTTAATATGAACTAGTTTATGACAAGTAAATCCAAAACTGTGAATAACTTACTTTTTGAACTATTTAGATGGTGGATACTGGATCGAGTAAAACTATAGCCTATTAAACTTCTGATTGATATTAACTTGGAAGTTACTCCATTTTTGAAAAGTTTACACAGCTTAAAATTGAAAATGTCATGGTAAATTTGAGGGAATAAATCTATATTGTGGGCACAGTTATTCGTTATGATTTTGTCATTTTCAGCACTGTGATGGGTGGCAAGCTCAATTTTCTGCTGGGATTAAGGTAACTATCCTGATCCTTCAATTATAATATTTGCGATGGTAATTCTAGCTGCCATGCTTGTGCATTGTATATATGGGGATGACATGTAGTTTTCCCTATTGGAGCATCAATGGGCATATATTTTGGATTAGAATCTATTTCACTCATGATATTTTCTTTCTTGACGACGGTGGTGTCCGGCCAACTTGCGTGCACCTCGACACTTTTACTCATGATATTTTGGTGTTTGATGTCTCTGTCACCTTTGAAGCATATGTCTCTCACCATATTCTTCTATTTACAACAGTTTCGATCTTTCCATTTTTCCTTTCCTGAATTGGAAAAAGTTTTTATCTGCTACAATTTGAGAATTCATCACCTGTTGTCCTATACAAGGACTAGTAGCCTGTTTGGCCAAGCTTTTCCCCAAGCCAAAAGTGTTTTTTTTCCCAAAAAAAAAGTGCCTTTTTCCTCAATTTGAGGTGTTGGCCAAGCCTTTTTTTTGGGAAAAAAGTGTTTTTGGCTAAAAGTAGAAGCAGTTTTAAGAAAGGAAAAATGCATAAGTACCCCTGACCTATACCCGGATTTCCAACTACACACTTTTTCTTTGCGGGAATCCTATTACCCCCCTAAACTTATTTTAAATGGAATTATTTGCACCCTAAAACTAGACAACCAAGCTCTTGGCAAGTGGTGAGCTACACGCGCCCCCACATGTATTTTTAGTACTTTTTTTATTCTTTCTTATTTTTCTTATCCTTTTTTCTTATTTCTTATTATTCTCATTTTTTTTGGCTTTTTCATTCTATTTCTTTTTGTTTTGGTCACCGGTGGCATAAAATGGTGGTCGTCAGATTTTCACAAACACCATTTTTTCCGGCGATAGATTTTTATCCCGATTTAAGTGTGTTTTATTTTATATATATATATATAAATTTTTCTTGAAAGTGTAATTTATGTGTGGGAGGAAGAGCAAAAGAAATAAAAATAAATATAAGCTGAGAAAAAAAAATTCAGTTAAAATTTCAATACATCATTTTTTTTCGGCGTGGGAAGGTTTTCCGATGATGAATTTTTCCCCCCAAATCTGAGTGTATTTTGCTTTGCTTATGAATAGATCTTTTTGGGAGTTTAATTTGTGTGTGAAAAGAAAAAATGGAAGAAAAATAGTTAGACAAAGTCGCCGGTGAATGAATATCCACCGGAATTAGAGAAGAAACAAAAAAAAAGTAAAAGAAAAAAGACAAAGGAAAAGGAAAAGGAAAAAAAAAAGTAAGAAAAAATGGTAAATAAGAATAAAAAATAATGTGAAAATCGTTTTTTCTTGCTTCTCAAAGGAGAGTGGAATACACACACTCTGCCACGTCAGCGTTAACGGTGCAAATAATTCCATTTAAAATAATTTTAGGGGGGTAATAGGATTCCCGCAAAGAAAAAGTGTGTAGTTGGGAATCCGGGTATAGGTCAGGGGGTACTTATGCATTTTACCTTTTAAGAAACATAAAAAATAGCTTCTCCCCAGAAGCAGAAGCAGTTTTGACTTTTCTTTCTACCAAAAATACCCTTAGCAAAATATTATATATACCAAAATAACCTTGCTTAGTTTAAACTATTAAGTAATATATAAAGACTTTTGGGATGAACTTTCAATATTTATTGAATGATTTTTTGATATTTTAAAATTATCTTGAAAGAATAAACACTTTTCAATTTTATTTTTACATTTTACTTAAATAAAATAAAAAACTTAATTATTATCTTTAATAATTAATATTTGTGATTATTTATCTACTTATATAACATTAATTATTAAGCAAATCTTTTCATGTCCTTCTTCGTAATTTGGCACTTAAAAGCACTTTTTGAAAAGCTTGGTCAAACACAAATTGTTGTTCAAAAGTGCTTTTCAAATTGATTAGCCAAACACAAATTGTTTTTTCCAAAAGTATTTTTTTGAAAAGCACTTCTCAAAATAAGCTATTTTTTCCAGTTTGGCCAAACAGGCTATAGAAGTGCACATTATCTTGATGCAGGATTGACATGCTTGCGGTACAAAAAGACTAAGCAACTAAAAAATGTGTCAGTAGTCCCTCGGCATTTGACCTTTCTAAAGATGATTGACCCCACCACCAAGAAATAACAAAGCTTACTTCATACACAAATAGAATTTGCATACAAGTTATATTAGAATTTTACGACATTTGTACGATACCAATTCCCTTCTGTTAAAAAACTCCTTTTTCATGTTGCAGTTACCGGCTAAAAATCTTTTTATTTTTCGTTTAACCTTTTTTCCTAAATCTCTATGCTGAATCATCTTAGGTCAATAGGGTGATACAGAGGGGATAAAATGGTTGTGTGTTACTATTATGTGTAAATGATTTATTACTCTTAACATTAAGATGTATAGAGGAGATCCTGACATTCTAGATTCCTCGTTGGTAATGGGATTAAAGCAGAAGAACTGTATTTTTGTATTATAATTATCAAAGTAAAGAAAAAAAGATACCTCCTAATCTTTTGTCATACTTGAATCAGTAACCATGTTTTTCTACGTCCTGAGAAAGGTTATTGAGTTTCTTCCTTGGAATTCTAGTGAAATGCATGTGACAAAGTAGAGCGTTTTCACATTGCTGCTAGTCCTTGAGTTAATACAGTAATTGCATGAGATGACAAGGCTTGCATCAACTGATTTCTTGATGCTAATCTGCACATGTGAAGTTTATGAAGATAGTTAAACTTCTCAATCTGACTTCAACTTTATCAATATCCATTCATATGAATTTCATCATGAACTGTATTGGCTACATAAAAATATTGGGCCTTAAAATAACTTTTTTTTATTGAATGCAGACCATTGTTGTTGCTGCAGTTGCTCCACATGGAGTTGTACAACTTGGATCCTTGGATAGTGTAAGATGATCTACAGTCTCGTTTTTAAAGATGTATAAATGGTTTAAGTACGTGAGAAATTGAATTTAATATCAAACCACCTTCAGTTTTTTCTTTATTCTGTTTATGACAATTTTGTGACACATGTCCTCTTGACTTGTATTTATTTAATTTCACATGTGTGCCTGTTATGTTGGACTGCCACTAACGCATCATTTACTTCCACTTAAAATTCATCACCTTGTGAAATTTCAACTAGTTTGACCATGTCTGGCTTAGTTGACATCATCCAGAGGAGTGTATGTTATCATTGTTCTCTGCATGTAACTACATTTGCCTTATCTCCAAATCTCATGCTCTTTCGGTTGTTTTGTCAAAGAAGATTCCTGAGGATTCGAGGGTGGTCAAGCTTATTAGAGATGTCTTTTCTGAGCTCTTGGAGTCGATGGCAAGTTGCTTGCAGAGTTCGATGCAGAACAGCATGGAAAATTCTTGCTTGGTAAATAGACTATTCTGCTCACTGAATTACTGTTATCACAGATCATCTACTCCTTTATCTGATGCTGTTACATTTTGCCAGTCAGAGATTTCGACAAGAACCTCAGGTTCAGAGTTTTTTCAAGTCTGCGCAAATAATCTAGGTAGAAATGTTTGTGAAGATGGGAGAAATATGTGGTCTCCTCTATATACATCTGTTAAAAAATCTTTTGATCATTCTTGTATCTTCTCGCAACCTGGAAGTTACCCAAATAAAATACTTGAAGTGGTTAATAAGCAAGGACTTCATGAGACTGCAGTTCAAGGATCTGGTCACTGTGAGAATCTGCTTCCACCAAGCTGTGAAAGTTCCCTTATAAAACACCAAGAGGAAGGGCAGATGTGGGAAGAAAATGATCAGAAGTTTGAAGGGCAATCTAGCAACTCGAGAGTCTTGGGAAAGGGCTCAGTAGATAAAGCTAAGCCTACTTTTAGAAATAATGGAAGTAATGAAAGTGTTTCATATGATGCTGGACAAGTCACCGAACGCACTGTGCCATATAAAAACGATCTTTCTTCTGAAGCTTACAATGATCAAATTGGAGTGTTGGGTGTGCCAGATCTTCCCAATGCATATCCAGATAAATGTGTAGAGAAAAATTTAGGTTTCGAGACCGAGTGTAATTACACAATGCACACTCCTTTCAGGTTCTGTGCTGGCTACGAGCTGTTTGAAGCACTAGGGCCAATTTTCCAGAAAGGGAATTCTTCCAACGACTGGGAGGCAGGGAACCGGGAAGAAATGGCTGTTGAGATGCTTGAGGAAATCGGCACCAGCAGTCTGTTAAAGAGCAGCACTGGCCAGGAGCATCTTCTAGAAGCAGTAATAGCTAATGTTAACCGCCATGACAATGATAGTAGCAGTGTCAAGTCATTCTGTAAATCTGTTGATTCCCTCTTGACCACTGAAATAACTGTCGAACCTTGTAACAGCGGTATCGGCACTATCAGTTCTACTGGCTATTCATTTGATCGGGAAACATTGAACAGCTTCAACTCATCAGGTGTGTGTAGTATTCAGTCTTCAAGAGGTTTTTCATCAACCAGTTGTAGCAGAGGTAGTGGACATGTTGAGAGGCCACTTGAACCCACTAAAATGCATAAAAAGAGGGCTAGACCTGGTGAAAGTTGCCGACCTAGGCCCAGGGATAGACAATTGATCCAAGATCGCATCAAGGAGCTCCGCGAGCTGGTTCCAAATGGTTCTAAGGTAACCTAACAGCCTATATTTCCTTAATTCTGAAATTGCTTAATTTTTTAATCAGATGTGCTGAAACTCTGGGATGATAATGATACCACAGTGCAGTATAGACTCACTTCTAGAACGGACAGTCAAACACATGGTCTTCATGCAAAGTATTACCAAGCATGCTGAAAAGCTAAAGAAGTGCTCTGCATCAAAGGTGAGCTTCTCTTGCACGGTTCGTGATTTGTTTTTCGATTGACATAATTTAAATTGTTCATGCCAAGTCAAAGCCTGGTAATTGACAATGATGCCCAAACATACCTCCCTTCCCTTGAAAAAATAAAAGGTGAAAATTGAAAACGGGATCATTTATCCTTGGTAATTGACATATCTTCTTTCTAAATCGATATTTTCTGACATTTTATACAGGGGGATGGGGATATATTGTTACAGTTGTATGCTCTTTCTTTAAATGGGAGTCATTTGACTCTGTAAGCTTACCTTCTCATTTCTTTTATTACTATTTTCTACTTGACCTCATCCGGTGGGATAATCCCTCTAGAAATAATTTGCAGAGAAAAACAGTGCTCTTGCGATGACTTCTGAAAGTGCATCCCTGTGAGAGACCCAAATTATTTGGATGAGACATGCTTTAATGCTTTTCTTATTTTAAGCATTATACAGCTCTATTGTGGCCAATTGGCTGAGAAAAATAGCTAGTTTTATTTTGTCTGGTTATTAATTCTTTCCACTAATTTAGTTTGTGTTGAAAATGTTACAGCTGGTTGCCAAGGAATTGGGTATCTCCGGGTCTTCCTCCCATGAGCATGGTTCAAGCTGGGCGATGGAAGTTGGAAGTAACCTAAAAGTTTGTCCAATGAGGGTTGAAAACTTAAGCATGAACGGTCAAATGCTTGTAGAAGTAAGGATGGTTGATTTTTAATTTTTGTTGGACTATTTGGTGAAACAGTAAGGGATGATACATTTATCCTTACGTGAGACCTATGCAGATCTTTGAAGATGGCAGCCATTTCCTTGATATAGCAGAAGCTATCCGGAGCTTGAATCTTACTATTTTAAAAGGTGTGGCAGAGGCTTGTGGTGAGAGGACACGTATGTGTTTCGTGGTTGAGGTACAATCCTGATTATTATAAAATGTTTTCTTGACCTTATGTAGAACCCACTGATTAGTGAATTTTGGTACGCAGCTAGATGTTTTATCAACTAATGGTGCATCCACTAGCTACTTCTTGTGTGATATCCTTAGTTTCTTTGTCAAGATCTCTTAATAGAAAATCTACATATTTTCTTGTGAACATTTGATGTTTACAAGTTTTCGGTTGATAATTTCATCTATTTTAGATGATCTTTTCTATTTCTTTTTATTGCTCTATGTTTCCTAAATATTTCCATTATCTTTTGACACTAAAGTTTACATTTATGATTTTATGGAACGCTAAATATTTCCTAAACAATCTTTTAATAAACATATGTAGAAAATATGATGTTTATACAATATCCTTCTAAAAAAGGCATTTATACAATAAATAAAGGAGATTCCAATCCAAACTAAAAGATGATTAGGAGATAAAGTTTTCGGCAAAATCATGGAACCAACCAAAAGAGGTATTCAGGAGGTATGGGAAATGAAAATAAACATAACAATATAATACTATTCAAGTAGTTACAGATTTTTGAGAAGGAAAGAGGATTTCAAGTAGTTATAGATTATATGCTGTAAATTGTATAACATTGTGTTAAGCATGGTTATGAACTTGAGTTCAATTCGAACTTAAAAGCTTGATAAAAAAATGCTTCAGATTTTGATTGCATTTACTCATTACAGATTACAGTGTTATGGTAGAGGATGCCAATAGACTTCTTGCAGAATCAAGAATTAGCATGGCTCTTTAGATGTTCCTTTCTCTTATCCCCTTTGGTTCCATCTGATTTCAACTTATTGATTAATTCATTTTTTATTTTGCTCGACTCTTATTCAATCTATGTTATTACCTTTTCCTCAGGGGCAGAATGATAGAACCTTGCATCGCATGGATGTACTATGGTCGCTTATGCAGAAACTACAAGCAAAGATCAGCATGTAAAGCTGGAAAGTCGGAGAGAGACTTTTACTAATCAGTTGGAGGTATCGGACTCACTAACATGTGGTATCTTCAGAGTATATGCAGGGTTTTAAGGTATTGATCATCAGTCAAGGATACTGATGTTTCAAAGGTTTTCTGTGCAATATCAGATTTCCCTTCTAGACAAGTGCTCATTTCATTTTTTCCTGCAGTGTGAAGATGATAGATTGTTTGTTTCTTGTTTGTTCCATCGCTAAGTGTATCTATTTTCTTGTGTTATATGTGTAATGCTCCCCTACGAAAAGCGTTATGCTCTTGACAAGGTGAGGCTTTCTCGTAGAGATCCTCCACGTCCAACCAATAGATTAGAAGTTCGAGAGGGTAATGCATTTCAAAGTTGGAGGGGGGTAAGTGGTAAATCAGTATTGTTCCCTCTAGAGGGTGGAGAGTGAAAACAGAAAGGGTTATGCTCTTCATCATGTAACCTTTTTTTAGAGTGTGCATGTATTCAGAATTTATCGTGTACATCATTGAGATTGACCTTCAACATGAGGTGACTTATTAGTTACTTATCAGATGCTTTGGTGATAATGCATTTCAAAGTTGTTTTATTTTTTGGGAAAAGGTTCAAAATTGTCCCGTATATTATTTACTTCTGTCACCCATTATATTTTTCGTCCATATCTATTTCTACCGTTAACAAAGTTTGCATAGTTCCCCCTAACCTAACCGCCCTCCACTCCACTGTGGCAGCTGACCTCTTTAATATTTTGTCCATGTCATACCAAAAAAATCCAACCCATGACAAAATACCCACTCACGTTCGGATAACCCGTGACCTGATCCCACCCATTACCAATTAAAACACAAATTAAAATCAATCTGACCCTACAGTCTCCACCCTTGCAAATTGCCACCACCGCCGTTCGCCGCTGACGGAGAACTCCAAATTGGCCATCTAATAACCATCGTCTTCCTCTATGCAAATTTAAAACCCAAATTCCCATCTTCACGTATTTGAAGAAAACAGAATAGCCCTTGTCACCTCCGAAAACCAAATAGCTCTCTTAGCTTGAATAGCTGCACCTTTGAAATACCTTACAAATTTCATGCACCTTCAAAAATCAAACCAGACAACCATCGAGTTTGACCGAAAATTTCGCCGACGATTCCAGTTTGTTCATGATTGGAATTTGATGGCTCTCTGATGTGATTTTAAGTAAAAAAATATGACTATGTTTTACTTCAATGTCGAAAAGTTACAGTAGAATACTGGAAATGTGACCCAATTGAAGAAAATGAAGAAGGTGTTTTCCTCTTTTCTTGAAGATGGCAGAATAATGTCTGCTTCTTCCTCGTTTTGGCATGCAAATAGTTGGGGCAATAGTGTCCGGTGGGTCATGGGTAACGAATCAGGTTGGATTTTTTTGCTGCTGACATAGAATATTAGAGGGATCAGCCTCTGCAGTGGAAGGACGCTAAGGTTAGGGGCAATTGTGCAAACTTTAATAGATTTGGAGGAAAAGTATAACGGGTGATAAAAGTAAATAGTATACCATAGTAGAGGGGTAATGTTGGACTTTTTCTCTTTATTTTTTTCTTTTGGGTGAGTATAATGTTATGTCCTTTGCATTTTTTGAAAAGACAAAATACATACTTTACCCATCGACCTTGTCCCCAAATTACTCTTACACACCTGTTAAAGACGGGAATAGTATTACACACCAAAATTTTTAAATGTGTGTCAATTACACACCACTTCGGTGTTTGACCACATCTGCTTAAAGATTGCTATTACATGCGCCAATCAACGTCTGACACTGTCATAAATCGTTAAAAAACTGGAAAATAAACCTTTGCCCCCACCCCACTCCTCATCTTCCCAAAGAAAAAAATACAGAAAAAAACCCCACCCTCTCCTCATCTCCCCAACCCCATCATCTTCTCCACCACCATCATCTACCACCAACCCTTCCACTACAAGCACCTTATTCTCCAACTATAGATTCAACTCTTTGCCCGATTTTTAACAAGTTTTAACAACATCCATCACAAATCCTTATAGAAATTTCAAAATCAAGCTCAAACTCAAAGCTTCAAACTTGTTAATGGTGTTTTTTGAATTTTATCAAAATTAATCACCTAAGTAAATTTTAATTCAACAATAATCACGAATTCAAACTAATTTTCTAGGTCATGGAATACCAAAATCAACAAGACCCGATTAAATTTTCAAGTTTTTTCAATTCTTTAATTTGTAAAGAAAATAGTTAAAAAGGGAAAAAATAAAATAAAAAACTTAATTTCAGATGAATTTTGTAGTTTTCACTTGCTTCTTTTATGTGTAATACATGCGTGTGACACATGGCAAAAGAGTTGTGTAATTGACACACTTTAAAAGTTTTGATATATAATACTATTCATGTATTTAACAGGTGTATAAGAGAGATTTGAGTATAAGGTCGATGGATAAACGTTTGTCTAAATGGTGGGATGAACTACAACTTATTACTATTGGTTTGTTTTCCCTTTTCCCATTCATTGTGAATCTGTTCTTCGATTTTTTAAGAGACCTCAACCATATTCCAACAGGGTTTTCGAGAACTTCGAGTTCTTCCTGTACCAAAAACTAGAATAGTAATTCATGCACTGTTACAGAAGACATACACCACGATCAGAAAGCAGGGAAACATGCTTTTTCTGTCTTCTCTCCGCAGGGGAAGGAAAGAGGTCGGGTCGGTTCTCCCTTTTTTTCTTGATTATCTGATAAGCACGAGAATGATAGCTTCTATAAATATAGATATATTTAATACCTTGAAACTCATTGTCCATGGATAAAGAAAAACCGTTTTAATATTAAAAAAACAAAAACTAGAGCAAACATATTCGAAATTGTAACCAAGCATCCCCATTGGTTTTATACCCGACTCATAATAGAAAGTTTTCCGGCCCTTTTACACACGAATTAACTTCCAATATTGAGCAGTCTCAATTTCACTACATAATTTAGAACGAATGTTGGGCTGGGCCACCTTGAATGGAGCAAGCCGCATGCGGGGAGACCCGCACGTATGGTTTTTAGGGAGTTCTGGTTAAAAAATCGGCTAGCGCTCACCCGATTAGAGGAATTGAGAAATTAATTGAGTACAAACTGCATAAACTATAATGTTCAATCATATACACTAATTTATATTAACATCGTCAAATTGAATTTATCTAATTCGAAAAGATTACAACTTAGTATTGTTTGATACCAAGAAATAATTGGACGATTTGTCTCGTCAAATAAAATGTAAGTGAAATGACTTACTAGTTGCAATTTATACTCGGCATCACTTACAACCTACATTCATAGTATTTATTTTGGTTTGACATTTCAAGAAAATTGGAAAAGTAATGCAGACCCCTCAATCTCACTCAATTTGACATTTTTCTCTTTGTTACTAAACAAAGCAGAGTAGTCTAACACAGCCAAATCAAAGATGTGGGGCTTCTAGCTTCTTGCGATGCTACTTAACTATTCCCATTTCACCTAATAATAGATTAATACGTATAAAAGATAGATCTATCCATCTAAGGTGCTATCATCGTACATTTGTACTATACTGATTATTTGAATGTCAGCGTTGAAAGGAGTACTAATCCAGAAGTGACATGACTTTGCTTAGACACAATGATTTAATCAACTGTATCCAGCGAAGTTATTGGAATCTTTATACAAATATTCGGAATTCATTGTTACTTTTCACAGCCAGTATTGTATTGGAAAAAAACTGAATTTATATTAAAAATAATGTGGCATGACACGTGGATTAGTTGGATGGTCAAAGAACAGCAATTGACTAAGAGGCACGGTGAAAACAGCCACGGGAAGAAGAATTTAAATAAGCACGAGACGACGTATAGATACGAGTCTCGTACCAATTTAAATTATTTACAGCCAACGGATTAGAAGGCATTGAAAGCAAGGATCAGATGACAGAAAGGAGTCCAAATTCATTATTAAATGTCTGATACGTTATAAAGTTGGTATTTAATAGGAATGATTGTATAACGGCTTATTTAATGTCATTTATTGCTCATGATTATATCATTAAAGCTGAGACTTTATTCCTTTACCTAGAATGATCTATAAAAGGAAGAAGTATCATCATTTGTAAGGACACGGAATATTATTAAGAATTCATTGAAATACTTATCTATTTACCTTCTACCATTGTTCTCAAAAGTATTTTATTTTTTGTCTCCTGATTATCAGTAACCCGAATTTCTCTTTTAGCTTTGACCAAGGACTCAGATTTTTGGTGAAACAAATTGGTTCCGTTACCGGGAATCTGATAATCTTTCCTTTTAAGCTATATCTTATCTATTATCGTCACCATGTCAAACAATAACGCCGACAACAACAGTAACAACACATTGGGAAACCATGAGAATCAAATACATCAAAATCAAGATATCGTGGTTCCCTCTCCTTTAAATTCACCACGTCAATCTCGTGAAGGCACTCCTGTTACTGAATCCCGTGCTGATCAACAAGAGCAATCTGAACATTTTGAAGGAGTTACAACTGAAGCTTTGCAAAAGCTAATCGATGCACAAGTCGGCAAAGCTCTTCAGGCACTTGTTAGTCGATTGCCTGCTGCGCCACCTACACCGACTCCTAATAATAATACATTGGAGAACCCCCGTTCTGGTCTTGATAATTCTGGAAACGGAGCAACCCCCAGTGAACCACAAGAAGGGGGACCAGGTAATTTAAATAATTCATATTTGCAAAATTTAGTACTAACCTTGCAGAAACAGCTGAAGGAACAAAATGAGCGAATAGAACAAATCCCTGGAGTTCCACCTGTAATAAAAGGAGTAGACATGGACAAATACTCACAACAACCATGGAAGCCTAGTGCTGCTCCCCTTCCAATTCCGAAAAAATTCAAAATGCCTGACATCCCGAAATATGATGGTACTACAGACCCACGTGACCACGTGACTGCATTTACAACCGGCGTGAAAGGCAACGACTTGACCAAACAAGAAATTGAATCAGTATTGGTCAAGAAATTTGGAGAAACACTCACCAAGGGTGCATTAACCTGGTATTCTCTTTTATCTGAAAATTCTATTAATTCTTTTGCTGAGCTTGCAGATTCTTTTATTAAAGCACATTCGGGAGCACAAAAAGTTGAGAAAAGGATGGAAGATATTTTCAAAATCAAACAAGGGGATTCGGAGTTGCTTAGAAACTTCGTTGATAGATTCCAACGTGAAAGAATGACTCTACCTCGTGTGCCAGACAATTGGGCTGCTATAGCTTTTGCAAGTAATTTAAATGACAAAAGTTCTGAAGCCACGAGACGACTCAAAGAAAGTCTTCGAGAATTTCCTGCAACCACATGGAATGATGTTTACAACAGGTATAGCACGAAGCTGCGAATCGAAGAAGATACCGTACCTAAGCTCCATCATGAAGAAAGGGGCGGTACCCGAAGGTCAGATTCCGAAAAAAGATCAGGTAAAAACAGGTACGATCCATATATGGGACCCGCAGGAAAGGACCCACGGTCGAAGCAAGATAACCAGCAATACGATCAAAAGTCAAGGAACCGGG